TATATATATATATATATATATATATGTTTGATATTTCTTTTTTGACCAAGGGTCAGAAACTGCGTTTTATTTATTTATTATATAAATTATAAATAGACAATATTGCGATTTGACTTATAATATAAACTTGATATTAATAGTTTTAAAGTAATTGCATTATGCATTTTTAAAAGTTTGTACATGCTTTCAAAACTAGTAATATTGAACTATTTTCATGGTTTTTTGCATTCATTTTATAGCAATAAATATTGTCTTCTGTAACCAAATTATTAAGCGTGATTTTGAATGATATCATACTTACGTTAATCTGTTGTATGTGCTAATCTCAATCACCTTAATGAAAAGTTTTGGTAGACCCATTGGTTGTCACCACATGATACATGATTATTATCAACGTATCTTGTCTCTCAGACATATTGCTTCTTTATTCTACTGGAAACTGAATTCTCTGTACTATCTGTTGCATTCCATTATTAAATCAAATTTTCAATTAAAGAATATCAAAATTTTTCAAAAATTTTTGCTTCAATTAAATATATTAATTTTTTTCTCATAATGTGTAATTATGTTATATGTGGGAAACTTTTTCAGTTTTATTGCTATTTAATTCATTATTCTCATATTTATATTTTATAATAGTTGTCATCGCTTTAATAATCAAATTATTTTTGAATAAATTTGGTAGTTTTGAAAAGCTTGAAATCGTAATAGTCAAACCAAATATTTAAAGGTTTAAAGGTCTGCAGTAAATTCAATAAACTGATAACAGTGGATCGTTCAATTAGTTTAAAATGAATATTTATACAACACAACAAATGTATCAAAAAAATTTTGATCTACGTATTTGATTGGTTGAAGTTATATATTGAATTGCAATTAAATCAAAGCTTTAAGTTTCATGAAAAATTAAACATCGTAAAATCACTTTCATTTCAGACAAGATTTATTTTACAAATGTAAAGTGCTAAACTCCTTATTCTAGTTCAGCTTTGACAATCATTGTTCTGTAACTCAATAATAATAATTTAACCTCTAAAGTAATATTTGAGTTTAATAAGTCGTTCTCAGATGATATTTTTGTAGTTTGATATTATTGAAGTAAAAAATATTAAAAAATTTTTTGTGAAAAATTTTGTGAAATATTTTTGGTGTTTAAGACAAAATTCCAGACATTCAGTAAATTTTGCCAAATAATAAGTAAAAAATTATTTTATAGTTGGAAAACATTATTTTTATGAGCGATAAAAATTTGTATCTTTGAAAGGATTATTGCTTTCATTAACACATATTAAATAAAGGAAGTAGTAAGGTAATAATAGTTACTGCTAAAATTTTCTTCTTACTTACATAGTCTGCCTATTACATGAATATTTCTAAGCAGCATCATAACGAAATAATTTGTATTTAGCAACTTGCGATCATAAATTTTTTTTAAATTATAAAAAGTTTATTGCAATTTATTTTTCTATTCTTACATAATTTTATCAAAGTTTTATACTAAAAAGACACTTTGTGTTTCTAGTACATGGATATCAAATTAAACAATGATCAATCCTTTGCTAAAATTCTTCTTGCACATTTAATATCCTGGTGGTATTCGCGGAGCTGCAAAGATTTTTAGTTAGTACATGGTATTAAAGTGACAATTCGCAAATCTTCTTTTCACCAATATTTGTTTTTCTATTTAAATTTAGTGTATTTATTACGTTCTGAACCATAAAATGATTTTTTAATGATGTATGTTACTATAAAAAATAAAAGATGTTATTATACATATATATTTGAATGTTTGCTTTTATAGCGAGGATTCATTAGGATATATTAAGATACATTATATAGAAAGAGTATATATCAGGAATACCTGGACAATGATTGCAACTTCCATTTTCCCCTCTTCGTCCTTGTGGTCCAGGAGGTCCACGTGGACCCCGCCTGCCTTCTAATCCATTTTGACCATCTTCTCCAGGTTCTCCATGTGGACCAATATAATTGATACCATCAATACCAGGAAGGCCTTTTAGGCCCAAATCACCAAGAGTCCCTTTAGGTCCATCTACACCAACAGGTCCTGGTATATAAAACAACCTTCCAGGTATGCCACGGATACCACGCTTTCCTTGCTGTCCTGGTCTTCCCCTTAGTCCTATTTGTCCAGCCAGTCCCTGCAATTCATACTTCATACATTACTTTCACTCCATCATATCACAGCTTTTGATCTTGAAGCAGATCAAAAGCACAGAAGTTCGAACAGCATTTTTGAAATTTACTTCTTCCCCACTTTCTCCATCATTTCCATTTCTGCCAGGAGACCCTTTTAGACCTCGTGGTCCTTTGGGACCAATTAAACCTGGAACTCCAGGAGGACCTGGTGGACAAATTATACACATCGCTGATTCTTCTTCATTATCTCTCGATAAAACTGGAAGTTTTACAGAATTTCTTCCAGATTTGCCATTTTTTCCAGGCAGTCCATCATTGCCATCAGCGCCTGGGTTACCTTCTAAACCAGGTAATCCAACACCACCCTTCAATGCAAGCTTTAATTGTTTTTTAATTCAAATATATTCTATGTTATGTATTTAAGAAATATGCAATGTATGTGTTATAAAAATATTTTTTCATATTCTTATAATAAGTTCGTTTGAATATCGAAAACAATTGAAAATATGCTAAAAGTTTAATTTATTTTAATCTAAAAGAGTTATTAACTGATTAATTCTAAATAATGCCACAACAATGACTTCTATCTATTTGTTCATTAGAACAAAAGCTTCAACAAATTAATGAAAACTTCAAGAAAATAACTATATTTGCAAATAATACATAACAGAATATCAAAAAATTTAAAAAAATTTGAATTTATATATAAAGCGAAAAAATAATAATATAAATTATCAACTATTCAAAATATCAAAATTTATAAAAATATTAAAAATGAATGAAATACTTACTTGATGACATGTACAGCATTGTCTATCATGGTTCATTTGATAATTTGATAAAACAGATGAAATTGGTACAGCATCGTAGCCATTATTATTACTTCTACGAATAGTATTATCATTATCGTTATCACTGTTTCCTATTTCCTTATCATAAGTACTAGCAGAAACCCATTTACCAAATAACCATTCTCTTTTAATTCGATTGTAAAATTTTTTACTGATTTGAAGTGCTTTCAATTCCAACCACATATCCTTTGATCGAGACTAAAATTTTTTTAAAATATTGTCAAAATATTTATTTCACTTTGATCATAAAAATAATGTATTAGCTATGATACAATAAAGGACTGTTTTATAAATTACTGCAAATTTGTGTTTGAAAATATGAAATTTGAGTGTAATTACTCGCATTTTGAATTAAAATACTTTTATGAACAAAAGTTTTTTCACCTTTATATATTCGCTTAATCGAAAAAATAATCAGTTATTAACCAATTTATTTGACGTATTTAATTACAGTAATGATAGAATATAGATAAGTAATTGTAAAGTTAAAAAATTAAATGCCTGTCGCAGCTAATAATAACATATTTGTAAGAGTGAATATTTATTATTTTTTGTTATTTGTAAATAATGGGAGCAATAATGCTTAGTTTTATTTAAGAAAATTCTTATCTGCATATTACTTATGCAGCAGAGATTTTTAGTGTGAAAAATAATAAAAAATTTTGCAAAAAGTATACCTTACAAAAATCGGTTTCAACCAATAAATGACTTTCAAAAGTTTGAACAAAACCATAAAGCATTGGTAGAGTAATAATTGATAAAATTACGGCAGCTGTGGATAAAATAATAGCCAAAATGGCAATTAGTCTCATATTTTGATGTCCATTTAGGTCTAAATTTTCGGCCATTTTCCTGTCTATTTGTTTATTAATTATATTTTACAAAGAAGTGAAATTCACTTTCTGACTTCTAGAGCAATGGTAAAAATTTTGGCTGCTGAAAATTAGCCGTTCAAGCTAAAAAAATCTGGTTAAAGTTATGGCAGCAACTACGTAAATTAAATTTTATTATTTAGTAATTTTATATTTTGCATAAATAATATGCAGTGAGTGTGAAAAATAATATATTTTTAAAATATGAATTTGGAAGAGATGAGTGAAAAATAACTTAAAACAAATATTTGTTATTTAAATGAGAAATAATAAGATGTATTAGAAACATAATCTTCGAATCTCTAAATATCTCTAATGTTGTATTCTTAATAAAACTTTTTGAATTTATTTCTTTCATTTTGATTAAAAGTATTATTATTTTACTTTCAACTTAGAAACAGGCCAGCTTGTACTCGAATGTGCTGGGATGTTTTGCAAAACAGAAAAGAATATTATATTTGAAAGAAAAAGTTTAATACTGGGCCGATCAAAACAATTGTCCCTTACCTGCGTAGCAATTTGTAAAAAGTAAATAAATACAAATTAAGTTAATAATGGAATGGAAGAATAAATAACGATGGATTAATGGAACGAGTGAAGTAGGAAAGACTGAAGATATAAATGAAAACAACAATTTATTTTCTCGTGTTTTTATTTGCTTCGTTTCCATTCTATTTTTCAGTTTAAACTGTGTCAGCTCATTCTGAAATGTAGTCACAGTCCATCACATTTCACACTCTTATATATCTTTGCCAAATCTATCGTTAACGAGCAGAATATGTATCAAAACAAGAATAAGTCTGTTGTCATAATTAATAAATTTGATTGACGAATAATGGTTTTAAAAAATTCAAAATAAATAATTAGATAATGTCATCGTTTTATAAAATAATATATCAATATTTCTGCAGTTTTTATTGCAAATCAATTAGTAATAACTAATATTTTTGAGAAAACAAATGAGTACTGTAATTTGCAATAACTAAAAGATGAATATCCGTAATATTTTATTCAAGATGAATCTTTACACTTTCTTTGAAGTTTTTTATCAAGAGTTAATGGATAACTTTTTTATCAATTATTTTCAATCATTTATACAAAATATGAAATAAAACTTTGTATTTTCTTTTAATCATTGCCAATTGCCTCTTTTTGTAATTGCTTTCAGTCAGATAACTTAATTGATCTTTAATAAGCTATTAATTATAATTTTTTAGCACAGCATTTTAAATTTTTAGCACAGCATTTTAAAAAATAATTTTTTTTTAAAATGCTGTGCTAAAAATTCATAAGCATTTTAAAAAATAATTTTTAGCACAGCATTTTATTTTTAACTGAATAAAAAAGTCACGCTGATTATTACTATTAATATTTAAAAAATTTTTGAAACAAGGTTTTAAAAATAATATTTTATTCTGAATTGTTTTCTACGCAAATTTTTCTTGACAATTATAGGTGCTAATTAAAATGTTAGCATTTAGCTCTTCATATAAAACTACTTTTGTATCATTTATC